TTCAGCAATTTCCAGTTCTGACCATCTGTCAGAGAAAAAAGAACGAATGGGTCTTGTATTGGATGGCTGAAACACGCAACTGAAATAAGACACAGCTGCCTGTTCCCGGAGCTCAGCAATTGTTGGGTCATAATAGGAGAAACCATAAGAGGCTTCTGCATCCAAGCAATTTGCAGATAAATCCAAAAGCAAGGTGTAAATGGCATTCAGATGTTTGCTTCCAGAGCATGTCCTTCCAATACTCAGCATGCGATCAAGCACTCTCAAGAATGAAGCATTGAGGATAGGGCAGGGACATAAAATTGGAGAAGCCATCCATTTGCACTCTGAGAGAACGTCAAGTAACTGTCCAAGAAGCTGATCCTTTTTCGAGGAATCAGTAAGGCTTCTGCAGTTTATATCTAGGAGGGCACCGAGTTGCAACAATATCCCGTGCAAAAAATTGAAGGACCCGTATTGGGTTCGATCAATAGGTAAATCTGAGGCAATGCCAAAGAGAACGGTCGGGAGTTTCTCATTGGAAACAAGACCTGTTAAGGCCTGAGATGCCAGGACACGAACACGAAGGTTGCACTGAGTAGAGCATTTCTTGATAAACGGCATGAAGAGAAGGGGATCCAGGTCATCCCCTGTTTCACTTGCAATGGCCGAAGGCTTGAGCCTAGATAAAAGAATGAGAACAGGGCATAAACTTGGATGGACCAGATTTTTCAGATTCAAATCTGATGGACCCGATGTGTCGAGCATATCAGTTGCCGCCTTTAGTTCATTGTATATGAAAGGATGCAATAAGGGGTACCTTCAAGAAAAGCAAGTATTAGCAACTTGATAAAACAATACATGTTGATTTGACCTGTCAAAAAGGTGCTCACAAATACAAAGATATTCTTTCCCGGAGAAGGGTCTTAGACATACCTGTGAAAAAATTCTAGCCCAGATAATGCACGGCGAGCAGATTCTCGTTTCTGAACATTCAAGAACCCAATCATTCGGCGGACCAAGGCAGTGTAAGCAAGTGTGGCACTATTCCTGACCTCCCAATATGGTGAAGAGAAGGATCTGATTGAAACAATCATAGCCTCGGCAGAAAACCCAGAAGTATCAGTGGCCAAGTTCGAGTCATTGAAAGCAGCTCTGAGAACATTAAATGCGTGCACCGTTGGAACAACGCCCTCATCTCGGATCTTTGAAAGTTTTTCACTTGGATCCAACTCAGAAGGATTCACATCATTATCCACAAGATTAGAACCTTTTCGCCCATCAGGATCCGTAAGAGGCTTCTTTGCAAGATCTATTAGCCACCTTAGTGCCTGCGGAAGAATCTTCTTTGGCGAACCTTCTGGTTCGGAGAGAAAAAAAGCAATGAATGCAGCGGGAATTCCTGCACTTCTCCTTAACAAATCATCCACTGTTTGTCCTTTGGCTACAGTTCTCTCCATAAGTTGCTCCATCCAGGATTCTGTCAACTTACAAAGTCTAAGAAAAGAAAAACACACTATGTCAATGAATGAGGTAGATAATAATATATTACAGGGAAAGCACGAGATGCTTAAGACCATACCTTGGATCGTTGGAACAGAGCAGTCGGTTGCACAGAGCTGTAAATCCAGCCCTTGTCTTATCTATTGCACCATTGTGCTTCATTTTCAAAAGTACTTCCAAGAAGTGATCCCCAATCTTTTCAAGTTGCTTCAAGTCCAGCAGCGATTCAGATGCTTCAGTCACCAAACCACCGTTAACATCAGAAGCCGGATCAGCAGATTCTACACAAGTAGAAAGGCTGCTGCTAGGTAAAGGAATCTTTCTTGTGATGGTTCCCAACAGAAGGCTCACCTAAATACAAAAAAAAAGTAGGTTGTATTGGGATACTGTAATATAGAAATACATAAGAATAACAAGAACAGTGGAACATGATAAAGTGAATATCTTAATCCATTCAACTTAAATACTTCTGAGGTATTATAAGGATTAACGGATGCAGTGTTTAGAGCTCTACCACAGCAAGGTGCAACCAGAAGAGACACGTCAATAGCACTATAAAAGAAAAACGCCATGCGACACTAAAATAAGAATCAACTCAAAGATGAAAAAGACTCAGTACCTCTTTCATTGCGAGCCAGCAGCCAACCATAACTATCTGTTCTGATTGTCTTGTTCCCTGCAGAACTTTTGAATCCTTGTCCCCATATTGATCTGGGAGAGCATCTTCACCATCCTCATCTTGGACATCTGGCAAGATACTATCATCATCAATCATGTCATCCCCATCCTCGGGAAAATACCAAGCATCTGAAGAAACCACCCAAAGAGCCAATGATGTTATCCGTGTGACCAGTTCAAGAAGCTTGTCCAGTTCCTTTCTCATCTCTGATGCACCAGACAATACTGCATCAGAATTCCAGTCTAACTCCTCAAAAGTATAACGAAGAGCCAGTAACACCCCATGAACAAAACTGTTCTTGCAGGCTTCAGAGAGATCATGCTCGCCCTCCCTCACAGAGGCATCAAGCCAATCGGTAAGGGATTTGATATACTCAATCACAGGGCGTTTGGTTATAGAGACTTGATCTATACCATTCATCCTTTTGCACTCTCTTTGACAATAAACAACATTGGTGGAAGCTTTGACTATTGATCCAAGATCCAAAACATACTTTCTGAAGATGAGTCTTAGAGCCAAAGCCCCTGCATCACTCTCTCTTACACGTGGACTGCAGACTAATTGTTGGGCCCAAGAAATAACCCTTTGGACCATGTCTTCACTTGAAATGCCAGGAAGGGGAGTAGGAAAGTGAAGCAAAATTCGGAAAGAACTTTCCCTTAGCCTGTCCCAACTATCTACTATTGATCCAACCAGAAACAATGTCGAATCAGGAGAGTTGACACTATCATTGTATGGGTAGAGACAGCCTTGAGGGGAAGTAGAATTCAAATCATCTTTGGACTGTACAATGGGCCAGACATTAACCATAATCTGTATAAGATCCATTGCCATTATTTTTCTCTTGTAAGGGGCAGAAGGGTAACAAGAGAAAAACAGAAAGGAACTCAGCCACCTCATGAACTTGAACAGACTCTCTGCTCTTTGGGCCACATTCTCGCTGCCCCTATTACTCAAGCAAGTTTCAATCCTTCCACCAGCTATAAGTGGTTCCCAGCTTCCCAGCTTATATTGCCTTTCAAGCGCTGTACGGACCCGAGAAAAGAATTTTCTGAACAAGCTGGTCCATTTCATCTGAAAACCTGTAGAAGATGACCTCATGTTCAAAGGCATGGCCTCCTTCATGAGATAGAGCTCTAAGGGAGATGGAAGACTAGCAGTCTTGGGGTTTAAGAAGAGAGTCCCTGCAGCATCTACACGAATTGACTCATCAACATGGGTCAAGGCCATTATTAGCCACTCAACTGGAACTTGTATCTCTATACCCTTAATGCAAACAAATGCAACTGCATCATCAGTTTCTTTTTGTTCTATGTCCCCTTCAAGCAAAGCAAGTGTACGAGAAACTTTCAGCAGCGAGACCAAAACTGCCACTTTTTGTTCAACTCCTGGTTCAATGCTCATGTTGCTCAACTCAGGATGCATTAGTTTGCTCATTTCCCCTCCAGGCCCAATTGATATAAAAGCAAGCAAAGGAAATATACTGTCCACGTCCAATTCTAACAAAACTGGAAGGGCATAAGTGTTTAAATTTGACCTAAGTTTCGACATACCAGAAGCAAGCCCGTAAAGGAAAGGAGGCAGACAATGTTCTCGATAACGCATATAGCCCTGATCAATGCCTTCACTGCTCCAACACTCATCACGAAAAATTTCAAGGAAACATTTCATAAATGATGTGGCAGCACAGCACACATCATCATCAATTAAAGCATTTGCAGTCTCAAACAACAACCCAGTATTCATATCCAACAATGTCTTTGCACCTAACCGCCTTGTCAAGGATGCTAATGGAACATACCTTCCCTTGCAGCGTGATCCCAAACGAAGAAGATCATTGGCAATACTCCGAAGGAACGTCTTTATCCTCATGGTATCATCTGTCCGATGAATGGTTGATTGAATATCTAAGAAGAGGTCAAATATGAGATGAACTTGTTTGACTGTCTGACTCAAAGGGTCTTCCAAGTTGTTCCATATAATTTTCAGTATCCGAGTTCCCATGTTTTCTGGCATTGGATCATACTCTTCTGATAAATCAGTTAGATTAGCTACCATAGAAGCCTTGACCTGTTGCAAGCAGATCTGCAACACAGTAAGTGCATGGAAGTTATAATGGGTGTCAGTGGGGTTCTCACAGAAGTTACAAAGCTCGGGCAAGATCCCGTCATACAGAATAGTTTTGCGACCACTAATTTCTTCGCCATGCCTATGACTGTTAGTGCAACAGCTCGACAGAACAAAATAGGAATTAAGAATATCCCTGGAAACTGCAGTAAGAATGCCTCGAATCAAACAGAGTCTATTCAAAGAACAAAAACTTCGTATCTGAGAACAAATATCCCCAATGAATGGAACTTTACCAACAACATCCTCAAACTTAAAACCACTGTTACCAAAATCGCAGGCAGTTTGATCGAAGACACCTTCTGCAATGAACAATCCAAGCTCTTCATCTTCAAGACAGACCTGTAGAGCAGCACACAAACTCACACCAGCAGCCACAAAACAGTCCCTAGAAAAGGCCATGGATTTCAAAATGCTTATCAAAACAGCTAAAACCGTCTCCATAAAGTTTGCTTCTTCACCAACCATACCCTTAAATTTCGACGGAAAACGCTGAAGCAAGTAATACAAGCAAGACAAAGCCTCTTGGCATTGCTCCAAAACAGTAGGAGGTAGCCTAGCCAAAGCCTCAGTCTCGGAGACGACCCTGTTCAATCCCGACATGATATCATGGGCAACCAAAAGAGCACAATCTTCAATTATATCAACCAAGTATCCCAATTTCAGCATTCCCATCACAGACAAAGCCACTCTAGACACACAGAACTGCTTCCCACCATCGCGTAAACCGCCATATTCGTTACAAAGCTCTCGGAAACAGGAACTAATCATAGAATGAAACTTACGTATTTTAGCCAGAGCAGAGACTAGGGTTCTATGCAGAGGCAAAGAGTTCTCCATGAACAAGACCTCCAAGTAAAACCTAATAGCTTCGGATAACAAAACTGAACCTTTCCCTCCGTCTTCTTCATGAGCTTTCGCCAATACCTCCCCGAACGACGCAGCTACGTTCTTGGCGTGACTAACTTGGACGTAGATAGAATTTAATGAAACCAATTCCAGAATATCTGCGTAAAACCTCGGAAAACACTCCGACAAACAAGATCGGCTCAACGAGTCCGAGAACGAGCCCGAGAACACGACGGCACTGTAAGTGTAACGGTGTCGATGCTGGAGAGCGCGCCATTTTGCGGACATGGTTCAATGAACTGATAAGAAAAATCACGAACTGTCCCGAAATAAATACCGAGACTTTGCTGCACTCTTTTGTCTATAACATGGGTGGAGGAAGGATCGACGAGCTCGGGCGAGGCCCTCCAATGGCGGCTCGATTGGGAGGAAGTTCAATTTTGAGAGGCAAAATCAAACGACAGGGTTTTAGGGCGATTGCCGGAGAAAAGAGTGGGGGGACAGATTTTATAAAAAGAAAACGTTATTGGGCCTTAAAATTAAGGCCCAATAAATAATGTCGTTGAAATTTGGGCTTAACAGTGTAGCCCAAATAAAAGTAATCCTTGAACTAATTAGAAGGAGCAGTAATTCAGAAAGCCCAATAAATATTACGATCGGTTCCTGTAATGTAAAATGAAATTTATTTTGACGATTATTTATTATAAAGATCTCAAAAGCCAGCCGTCGGAAAATATCCCACAATGATTATTACATGCCTATCACATTCTTTTATATGCATTCTTATCCTAACACACACACTATATATATATATATATATATATATATATACGTGTGTGTTTTTTATTTTTTACTACAAAGCATATTAAAATGTTCAATTACAATTTTTAGTTAGAATTGTAGGTCCAAACCATAATATTACAGAAAAAATCAAACAAATAAAAATGTTGACGTATCCAAATTTAGATAATTCAATCGGTGAAATGAGAATACAAAACGTTTATCTCGTTCCGAATTCGAATCTTAAATTTGAAAAAAAAAACTATAATTCAAATTATATAACTGACTTTCGATCCCTTAATTAGTCTTTGTCTTGATCTATATCTTGCCTTGGCCTATAATACCTCATTACCAAAAAAAAGTAATAACACATACAACACACACTTTAATGCACATTTTATGAAACTTTAAACCGATGTGTCCATTCAAAAGTGATAAACCGTGGCGAAACAATTCATAAATTATTGTTATCATTATTTTTATTTTATTTTTTTTTGGGGGGGGGGGGGGGGATGGATGGAGCAGAGCGAGAACATGACGAACAAATGGCATGTGTACATGACCTTTTGTGGGGGGGGGGGGGGGATGATTATGCCCATGTTGGGACCATCAAAAGGCAAACACCAATAATTTTGTAAACATGTTTTATTTTGCAAGGTGTTGAATCGGCTATTCTTCTTGATTCCTATTAAATTAAATTACATTAACTTTGGTCATAGAAATTCTTAAATAGCGTCACAGATATAATTGTTTTACTAATATAAGTTACACATGTAAAAGATGTTAGAAATTGTTGTAACGAAACAGTTTACTATCTCAAGCAAAATATAAGAAAATTCGTGTTTTTGTCCCAAATAAAAAATAACTAGGGGTGAATATGAAATTGATATGCAAATAATTCGGGATGTTACTACATGAATTTGATGATTATGGATTCTACATTTTGTTATTAAAATCTGAACCAAAAACTTATATGTATATGAGTTTTGAATACATAAAAAATATATACACGGATATCTACAATAATTAATCCCAAAATGTTCAAAAAATGACCATAATTAATTAGAAGCCAAAGATGGACGGCCAATTATTTATAGAAAACAATTACTATTAATAGTGTATAAACTAATCATTTGCTTAGTTTTAAGTAACTGTAACAACAAAAAGTTATGGCTTAAGACAAAAGAAAAACCCTCCAGACAACAGTTTACTAATCACACATAAGATTTTATTATTGGTAGTGTATAAAATAATATTGTAATAAATCAATAAAGAATCAATTTTAAATGAGTTGAAATTAGATTATGAATTTTTGTTGTATATACAAATTTATCTATGCTCCCCACCAAATAAATTCCTATTATTATAAAACTTGTATGGACAATACATATGAGCATTATCACCCGCTGTTATTATATAAAATTCACCAAATATATATTTATATATAATTATTATTTTTTATATGATGGTCTAATTAGGGTGTCAATTTTGGTTTCGAATACCGAAATCCGACCTGACCGACCCAAAAAATAGCGGGCTTTAGATATAAATATATCGATTCGAAAAATTTTGGATTTTTGGACTGGGCTCAAATCAAGTTTCGGACCGATCCCAAAGCCTAATAGTTATTTTTTAAAATTTTTAAAAATCAAAAAAATAAATTTTCAAAGAACAAATTGAACGAGTCTCGATCCTATTCGACTCGAGTCCGAATACGAAGTCTATAGACCAAATTTCAAGTTTGGTGATTTAGACCTGAAAAAATCGGGTCGGCTTGAGCTCGAACTCGAAATCCTAAAGTCGAGTGTGAGCTCAGACCAGATCGAACCAGATCGGTTCGATTGACACTCCTAGATGTGACCAATGTAATTTTATTATGTGAAAATTATGAGTGTCAATATTAGTCCGAAACTTGAAGTTTGGTCTAAGCTCACCCAAAAAATATTGAGTTTCATATATAAATATATTGGTCCAAAAACATTCGGGTTTTCGGATCGAATTTAAATCGAACTTCAGATAGACCTAAAAACTCAATTTTTTTATAAAAAATTAATAAAAAAACAAATTTGTAAAAGAAAAGTGAGTGGACTGATTCGATACGATCTGATTTGACCCGAGTCTAAAGTTTATAAGACCGAATTTCGGATTTGATTGTTCAGATCCAAAAAAAAAAATTGAGTCAACCTGGGTCTAAACCCTAAACCCTCGGGTCGAATGCGGATTCGAATTGGATCGGATCGAAATAGCCTATTGACATTCCTAATGAAAATCATAAAATTTTTAATGGAATGGACCGTAGAGCACAACCCATTATTTAATAATAATAATAATTAAATAAACAATAAATAATACTTAAAATTAACATGTAAATGTAAATGAGATGCTTTGTTCGAGTAATGCGATGCAACACAACCAGATCCAATAATTTAATGTTTACCTAGTTATCATTTATTATTGTTTTATACTTTGCTTTACCTTATTAGCGATCAGGAGCCAAAACCCTTTGTTAATATATTTATTAATTTGATATGAATGAGGGGGTTGAATGAATTTTACACATCTGTAAAAAAAAAAAAAGTCGATTTACCATCACTTACTCTTTTGGTAATAAAAATTATAAAATTATAAATCTAGGGGTAGAGTGTGAAAAGTTTTTTTAAAAAGTAGACAAATGTTTCGGCAAAGGGTTGATGGTACAACATTAAATAAATAACTTATTTTTCCTGGTGACAATTATTAATTATGATTATTAATTTTCATAATATATAGTTAGTGAGGGACCAAAGATGCTTAGAAGAAGGTACTGTGTATAAAAGACAGAAGCCGACCATTATCCCACTTCTTGGTTGTGATGTTCTTTCTTTTAAGTTTAATATAATGTCCTCTTCGCTTTAATACATTTTTATTTCATATATCATCAATTTCTTTTTAGAATAGTGGATATATGTCGGTTTTATTATTGTGATTTTTCATAAAAATATAATAAATCAAGTTTTAAACGTTCTATTCGATTTTTAACTTCTCTCAATTTCGCGTTGCTGTTTGTATTCGAATCATATTAGTTTTTCATAAAAATGTTTTATTTTTATAATAAAATTTTGTTTCCGTTTATATTTTATTATTTGTATTCGTTTAAATATAGCATTTTATAAAAACGATATCGAATTGTTTAAATCGGATTTGATATGAATATAATTATTTACTATTTTTTTATTCAGTTTTTGAATAACATAAATCAGGACTAATTATATCAATTCGTTTGATTATATGAATATGGGCTATGCTAAAATGATGGTATATGCTGTTCATAGTTTTTCTAATGTTACCCGTGAACATAATATCCGAAAATTGAGATAATCAATTATTTGATTTGTATCCGAATTGAAAATCAAGATATCCAAAGTTTACAAATCGAATATAAATATTAAATTTAATTATTCGATATTCAACCAATACTTTTTAATAATATTATTAAATATAGAAATGATTTGATAATTAATTTATATTTATAGAACAATTTTAAAAAGAAAAAATATACGATTTTTTTTGGATATCTAAAATTATAAATATGAATATTCATAAATATTTATCATATTTTAAATCAGTTAAGGATATTTATAAATATCTATGATTACAGTATATGCGTGGAAGAATATATATATATATATATGTATATTATTAATAAACTTATTACTTAATATTAATTAATATATTACCAATTGTGAGGGCTATATTTGGTAGTTGAGATTACAAATAAGTGTTGAATACACATGCTTATGACGTTAATGACAACCATAATTATTTCAGTGCCTTTGAGGGATCATCATTACTCGACATGTTCCTTTTTTATTTATGTGCCCAAAAAAATTATATTCTTTCTACAGCATATGTGTATGTGTATATATATATTTGTAAATATTGCTTTCTGAATTTTATAAATTACATTGTTTAAAAATATGTTTATTAAAACAATAAATTCATTACATTGTTATAACAAAACCACATAAAATAAAACATATTAGATGGTATTATAAATGACAAAAACAAAAATATTTACCACATAAGTAACATATGAAATCATCCATATCTACCCTAAATACTATGATCGAACCATATATATTCTTTTTGAATACGCATACTTTTACATAACATAGATTTTTACAAAAATGATTTACTTTTTGACAGCAATCATAAAAAAAATCCAAAGATATATTTTATTATAGATTATGGTTACTGTCCCCTCCATGAACATGAATCTCTGTCTCCCTCATTGCCGCGACGTTCTTCGAGTCTTTGACCACTGGTCTCAAACACTTCTCTCTCTCTCTCTCTATATATATATATATATACACATACATCTCCTGTTGCTTTTGCCCTCACTCTCTGCCATTTTTTTTTTCTATCTACTTGTTCGGACCAAAAAAAAAAAAACTAACCTAAAGCTAAGCTTCTCGAACTCACAAACCCATTGTCTATTTTTAGCGACCTTCCTCCTCCCATTACCTTTCGCTCTCTCTCTCAGAGCTCGATCTCCATCAATGGCATCCGTCCTGTTTTCCTTCTGAGTCAACTCATCTCGAGTCTTAATAACTCGGGACTTCTTCCTTTTACCCGCTTCCTTTTTGCTCATTAATCTCCGAGTTCTTTTCCGTAAAATGGCGGAGACGACGACAGGGCTGGCGGAAGCCAAGGCGGTTCCGCCGGAGGCGGAGAAGAAGAAGGAACAGAGCTTACCTTTCTTCCAGCTTTTCTCATTCGCTGACAAATATGATCATCTATTGATGATCACTGGTTCTTTAGGAGCCGTTGTTCATGGCTCCTCCATGCCCGTCTTCTTCTTGCTCTTCGGTGAAATGGTCAACGGATTCGGCAAAAACCAGATGGATTTGCAGAAAATGACCAGCGAAGTCTCCAAAGTAATCAACTTTTTGATCCAAGATCTGCTCTGTTTATTACCATTACTGTCCAAAAATTGACTCATAGTTGTTGCCTGTCTGAAATTGCAGTATGCTCTGTATTTTGTCTACCTGGGTCTCGTGGTATGCTTCTCTTCATACGCAGGTCTGAAAATTTTCTATCCCCCCCTCTGAAAACTTCGCCTTTCTCTTCAGTCTATCACTCGGCATCTCTTTAACATTTATTATGCCTCATCCTTTAACTGTTGAATATTTGCCCCCCAGAAAATCTTGATTTTTTTGCTGGTGGTAATTTGAATTTTTTTAAAAAAAAAACAGAGATCGCATGCTGGATGTACACTGGAGAAAGACAAGTAGGTGCCCTGAGGAAGAGGTATCTTCAAGCTGTTCTGAAACAAGATGTCGGATTCTTCGACACTGATGCAAGAACCGGAGACATTGTCTTCAGTGTTTCCACAGACACTCTCCTTGTCCAAGACGCCATTAGCGAGAAGGTGCTAACTTTTTATTTATCCCTTCTTTTTTCAAACTTTCCTGTTTTGAAAATATTCTGACAGCCGTTCACAAAGTGTATCGCTGTCCGAAATCCGGACAAGACCGTCAAACATATCGATTTGGGGTTAATCGCGGGACCCATTTGGTCTTGATCGATCTTAATCACCAGAGCCCGCATTGCACGTTAGTGACCGCCGGTTAACGTGCGCCTCTTCAGGGGTAGACTCTTTGCTCTTTCCTCTGGGCGCACGTCAGCAGGCATGAACTAACCTGCGCTTGGGCCCCGCTAGGATTTAAACATTCTATGGTTGATCCGGGGTGTTCAATTAAGGTGTTATAAAATCTGGGTAGGTGAAAAGATTTACTTTTTTTTTTTAGGTTCGGATCATAACTTCTTTGTTTATCTCTCAGGTTGGCAATTTCATACACTACCTGTCAACATTTTTGGCGGGACTCGTGGTTGGTTTTGTGTCCGCATGGAGATTGGCTCTGTTGAGCGTTGCGGTGATACCCGGAATCGCTTTCGCCGGCGGTTTGTACGCTTATACACTCACCGGAATCACGTCCAAGAGCCGAGAGTCGTATGCCAACGCCGGTGTGATCGCCGAACAGGTAAATTGGCGTGAATCCTTTCGAATGATTTTGTTCGGTTCTTGCTTGAGTACCAAGTGTTCGATATAATGCCTGTTGTACGGTCTCGTGTTTCTCTTTGTACTTATGGTGAGCACTAGTTTGGTCGTGATTGTCCCCAAATGATGATGTTTTCCTAATCTTCTCACTGAATCCAAGATCAGAAAGTAATGATTGTTCATCGATTCATCTTTAATTCACTTATTTGGGCTATTTTTTTTTTCTGCAATATCGTTGCTTAAGATGAAAAAAGTAATCAATGTTCATGATGGGGGATTTTCTGGGTGTTAATGTTGTCTGAGTGATGTATACAGGCAATTGCTCAAGTTCGAACTGTCTACTCATATGTCGGGGAGAGCAAGGCCCTGAGTTCGTACTCCAATGCGATTCAATACACGCTTAAGCTCGGATATAAGGCTGGGATGGCGAAAGGCTTGGGTTTGGGATGTACATATGGAATTGCATGCATGTCATGGGCTCTGGTATTCTGGTATGCCGGCGTTTTCATCAGGAATGGACAGACTGATGGAGGGAAGGCATTCACTGCCATATTCTCTGCCATTGTCGGTGGAATGTAAGAACATACATACTGAATCCGTGATTGTTGAGATATTTCTGTTCTTGTGGATGAATTTGCTTTGGATATTTTTGTTATGTAGGAGCTTGGGACAATCGTTTTCGAATCTTGGGGCTTTTAGCAAAGGCAAGGTGGCTGGTTACAAGTTGATGGAGATAATCAACCAAAGACCCTCGATAATCCAAGACCCGTTTGGTGGAAAATGCTTGGATGAAGTTCATGGAAATATCGAATTCAAAGATGTAACCTTTAGCTATCCTTCACGGCCTGATGTTATCATCTTCAGGAATTTCTCTATTTTCTTCCCTGCTGGGAAGACTGTGGCTGTGGTCGGTGGCAGTGGCTCTGGCAAGAGTACTGTTGTATCCCTCATCGAAAGATTTTATGATCCAAACAATGGTAATTGATCGAGAATTTTTTTCTTATTCGAAACGGTATGTGTCATGCGATTGGTTTATAGTTCTCTCTTTTTTATTTTTCGGTGCAGGGCAAATATTTTTGGATGGCGTAGATATAAAGATCCTTCAATTGAAATTTTTGCGTGATCAGATCGGGCTTGTGAATCAAGAACCTGCACTCTTTGCTACCACTATATTCGAGAATATACTCTATGGAAAGCCTGATGCAACAATGGTTGAGGTTGAAGCTGCTGCTTCTGCTGCAAATGCCCATAGCTTCATTACCTTGCTTCCCAATGGCTACAACACTCAGGTATCAAATGTGAATGGCTTACTGATATTCGATATCTGTATAAGGAAATGTCAAAATTTTTTATAGGATTTTCCTTAAAAAAACAGGTTGGAGAACGAGGGGTTCAACTCTCCGGTGGTCAGAAGCAGAGAATAGCAATCGCTAGGGCAATGCTGAAAGACCCGAAGATTCTTCTTCTAGATGAAGCTACAAGTGCTCTTGACGCTGGCTCTGAAAGCATTGTTCAGGAAGCACTAGATAGACTCATGGTAGGGAGAACAACAGTTGTGGTTGCTCATCGACTTTGCACCATAAGGAATGTTGATTCTATTTCGGTTATACAACAAGGGCAAGTCGTTGAAACTGGATCTCATGAAAAACTCATTGCCAAAGCCGGAGCATATGCCTCTCTCATCAGATTTCAAGAAATGGTGGGAACCCGTGATTTCTCGAACCCGTCAACACGCCTCTCCCGCTCGACCCGGTTGAGCCATTCGCTCTCGACGAAATCTCTCAGCCTTAGATCAGGAAGTCTGAGAAACCTGAGCTATTCCTACAGCACTGGAGCTGATGGCCGGATTGAGATGATTTCTAATGCTGAGACTGAAAGAAAAGCTCGTGCACCTGATGGCTACTTCTTCCGGCTTCTCAAGCTAAATGGCCCGGAATGGCCTTACTCTATCGTTGGAGCTATCGGCTCTGTCCTTTCTGGCTTCATTGGCCCAACATTTGCTATTGTGATGAGCAACATGATCGAGGTTTTCTACTACAGAAACTATGCTTCGATGGAGAGAAAGACAAAGGAGTACGTTTTCGTTTACATCGGTACTGGTCTCTATGCGGTGGTTGCATATTTGATCCAACACTACTTCTTCAGCATAATGGGAGAAAACCTCACCACAAGGGTTAGAAGAATGATGCTATCAGGTTCAAGATCTTTCATTTTACAAGGATTTCCTGAAATCTTTATCCGGGTTACACTCTGTATCATCTCCATTGTTATACTCTGCATTTTTGCTTCAAGACTCGAAATACACATCAGAATCAGAATCTTGTTCCGTGTCTGATGATGCTTGTTTCTTGTTTTCGTTTCTAGCTATACTGAGGAACGAGGTGGGATGGTTCGACGAGGAGGAGCACAACTCGAGCCTTGTTGCTGCAAGATTGGCAACAGATGCGGCCGACGTGAAATCTGCAATGGCGGAGAGAATATCGGTGATTCTGCAGAACGTTACCTCACTTCTCACATCCTTCATTGTTGCATTCATTGTGGAATGGAGGGTGTCTCTTCTCATACTCGCTGCGTTCCCTTTTCTTGTTCTTGCCAACTTTGCTCAGGTAATGCATTTTACATTGAGCCCTGCCTACTGAAACTATTTTAAGTGATTATCAGATCTAGAACTATGAATATGAATTATTTGTCAATTTTAATAATTGTTTTCACTGATTATTTTTGAAAATAGTAAAGCTACGAGTATTTAAAAATCGGATTTTTATTTTCAGTTCTACCAGAGAGAAAAATCAAAACTTTCAACACATCTATGCGTCTCCACCTGCTTTCCTTCAGTCCAAGCGCATTAATTTTTTCATCAGTAGTCATAAAAGAATTGAACTTCGTTTCTGGAGTTGGTGTAAAGGTCAAGATCATGGGAACCCCCCCACCTATAAATGTGTAGAATATTTATGATATTGGTACTATAGGCCATAGATAACAGTGTTCAAGAAACTAGCTAAAGATTCCTCTTTTTCTTTCTTTGCTTTCACCATTGTGGTAAAGTTTCCCACTTTTTTATGCTTTCATATCTACTGAACAAATCTATTAACACCAACCATTTCCAGAATTTCGATAAGATTCCTCAGCCGTGATCTTTTATTTCCCACTTTACTATATTTGTTGAAAAAAAACCTCTACATGCACGTATATGTATGCATGTATGTCATATTCTCATATAGATGGGTCTCAAAGTTATGAGATTGAAAATTGTTGCTAGAAATAAAAACCTGCTTATAATTTGTTGAATATCATGTAGACTTAAGTGTACCTCAGAATACGTAGCTTAGAACACAAGCTGGGTGAAAAGGAACAAGATCTAAGAATAGGGACTGTAATATCTGGACAGGGTCTTGTAGAGTTGGAACTGTTTAGTTTCTAATATTGCCTGAACATTGAATTTGACGGCATTGTGCAGCAACTGTCTCTGAAAGGCTTTGCTGGAGACACGGCCAAGGTTCATGCAAAGACATCAATGATAGCCGGTGAGGGAGTCAGCAACATTAGGACGGTAGCTGCCTTCAATGCTCAGGACAGAATCCTTTCTCTGTTCTGTCACGAGCTTCGTGCCCCTCAGAGAAGAAGCCTGAGTCGCAGCCAAACCTCGGGTTTCCTCTTTGGCCTCTCCCAGCTTGCTCTCTATGGATCCGAGGCTCTTATCCTCTGGTATGGTGCCCACCTCGTGAGCAAAGGCGTCTCGACCTTCTCCAGAGTGATCAAGGTGTTTGTTGTTTTGGTCGTCACTGCAAATTCAGTAGCTGAAACTGTCAGTCTTGCTCCTGAAATCATCCGGGGTGGTGAAGCAGTAGGTTCGGTTTTCTCCATCTTGGACAGGCAAACCAGGATTGAACCGGATGATCCTTATGCTGACCCGGTTGAGACAATCCGTGGGGAAATCGAGTTCAGACATGTCGACTTTGCTTACCCGTCAAGGCCTGACGTGATGGTGTTCAAAGACTTTAACCTCAGAATCCGAGCCGGGCAAAGTCAGGCTCTCGTCGGGGCAAGCGGGTCGGGAAAAAGTTCCGTGATTTCACTGATCGAGCGTTTCTATGACCCTGTAGCCGGGAAAGTAATGATCGATGGGAAAGATATCCGGAGGATAAACCTCAGGTCCCTGAGGCTAAAGATTGGTCTTGTCCAACAAGAACCCGCCCTTTTTGCGGCAACCATCTTCCACAACATCGCGTATGGGAAAGACTCTGCAACAGAAGCCGAGGTCATTGAAGCAGCACGAGCAGCCAACGCTCATGGCTTCATCAGCGGATTACCTGATGGTTACAAGACTCCGGTGGGCGAAAGAGGAGTACAGTTGTCCGGTGGGCAGAAACAGAGGATCGCTATCGCAAGAGCCGTGCTGAAGAACCCTACGGTTCTGCTACTAGACGAGGCAACAAGTGCACTGGACGCAGAGTCAGAATGCGTGTTACAAGAGGCTATAGAGAGGCTCATGAGGGGTCGGACCACAGTGGTGGTGGCTCACCGGCTCTCGACCATTAGAGGGGTCCATAGGATCGGTGTGATCCAAGACGGCCGGATCGTGGAGCAAGGCAGCCACTCGGAGCTCATCACCCGACCCGAGGGAGAGTATTCGAGGCTTTTGCAGCTTCAAAACCATAGGATTTGAAGAATGTCTGGTTTTAACACGTGTAATTTTCTCTCCGGATTTCTCTGTGGGATTCTATCTACGATCGATGATATGATCGTATAAAATGGGTGTAGATATATTGAAAGCTTTAAGAGTAATGGGGATTCTCATGCTTTTTTGGCAGAAGAAGCTTGTGTGGTATGAGAGGAATGGTTGTCATTTTATAAATTTATATTTTAATCATTGGACTGACGAAATGGTACACAAGAATTATTTAATCATCTTTTTCTTTACCCCCTTTGGTTTGTACTTTACATGAAATAAAAATACGAATCTAAGTCAGCAACTTTGTAGCGTTTTTAATCTGACGGTTCTCCTTTGTTTTTTTTTTCCCTTTTTAAGCTGAAAGTACCAAAGCTTTTCTTCGGGCCAGCCAATTACAAAAATGATCTCTAAGGTCATTTTTATTTCATAGCATGACCCACTTCTTTAAAAAAAAAAAAAATCTCATTCCATGACCTTATTACTGTATCTTTTCAAAAATACATTTATTTATTTTTTATTTATATAATAATATTAAAATTAAAATTTTTTCATCCTTTCTCTCTCATCTCTATTCAAATTTCTCTTCTTCAACATAATATAGTGACTAATTTACTGTAAAAAACAAGCGTAATCTCCATAAACTTCATCCAATGAGTAAAAATCTAGATAATGTATAAGATTTCCTTCTGAAATCCGTTTTTTTATTTTGGATATTTGTGATTTTTTTTGTCAAACTGATCATACTCACCAAATTGGTCAGATCAATCATAAAACTAGTCATACGTAGTATGACCGGTCTGATCTTTCGTTACGATTGTTTGTTTTAAACTTGAAAAAATTGTTATATAAGATGATTATTACCATGTAAACACTTTTAAATTCATAAATTCATTGTTTTCGAAAAAATCTGACCGTATGACTGGTGTGACCGTATGAACAGTGTGACCATTTGACCGTTTGGACAGAAAAAATAAATGTCTAAATTAAGTTTAAACGATTCAAAAAATTATAGAGGGGTTATAAGAACACATTTTCATCGTTTTAGTGATATAATTCTATGTGCAAAAAAAAAATCTCTCAACATAAGTCATATCTACCCAATGTATTACACAAACATTACTAGTACTCTGTGACTTCTTTGAATTAAGTTATATTGTAAAAAAAAATTCAATTCTTTTTGCTAGGATCATTTTAAACTTGATATATAAGATGAATATCACTATGTTAACACTTTTAAATTCGCAAATTCATCAATTTTAAAAAAGTCTGACCGGTATGATCATATGACCAGTCTGACCGTTTGGACACGAAAAATAAAGGCCTAAATTACGTTTAAACGATTCAAAAAGTTGTATAGAGGTTATAAGAACACATTTTCTTGGTGATCTGATTCCATGTGTAAAAAAAAATCTCTCAACATAAATCATCTTCATCCAATGTATTCCACAAACACTACTAACACTTATGGTTACATTGAAAGGAGTTATATTGTCACAAAAAAAGAATGTTCAATCCCTTTTGCTACGATATTTTTAAACTTGAAAACCTTATCATACGAGATGATTATAAATATCTCAACACTTTTAAATTCATAAATTAATTATTTTTGAAAACGTCTGACCGATTACTGGTATGACCGTATGATCAGTCTGACCGGTATGACCGTATGATCAGTCTGACCGGTATGATCGTATGACCAAAATCTGATCGATATGACCGGTATGACATTTCAAGAGCCAAAATTTCTTTGAAGATTTTTATCGAACACTTTGCATGCATTTTCAAATTCTTCAACTTTGGAGTGTCGGATCTCACTATAGAAGAGAAATTTGACGAGTGTAAGCTTAAATGATATTGTTCCATCGAATGAATCGAACCGAAACCCTAATAAGCTACAATAATAACATGTTTGATGAACACTTTTAAGTTCGTAAATTCATTATTTTTGAAAAAGTTTGACCAGTCGAACCGATATAATCGTATGATCAATCTGACCAATATGATCGCTAATCTTTTCAAAGTTGTATGTCCACCAAGGAAACCCTTCACAAAAGTCTTTGTAGCATGTTGAATATCCTTAAAATCATTAATGAAAGGAGCTTGCAACAAGAAAATTAACTCTCATGATCAGTTTTGTTATAAAATTAACCTATATGAAACCACTCATACGGTCACACCCGAGGGGTCTGACCAATTTGACCAGATGAAACTAGTCTGACCATACGACCATTTCAGTGGTATGACCACTTCATGGGTCTGACCAGTTTGACCCAAAAATTAATCTCGACCAAAAACATGAAATTTGAAACCAGAAAGCAAAGACGAAGGGGGGACGATAGAGATGAAGAGTGTGACTAGATTATCGACGAGAGATATAGTAAAGTCGTACATGCAGATCTTCGAAAGCAGAAAACAAAGATGATGAAGACGCCATTATGCTGAATAAGATTTTGCAAGAAGAAAATGCAGAAGACGAAATTGCAGAGGGGGATTCGATTCAACAACAGAGAGGAAATGTAGAGCAGTTTCTGAGCTTAAAAATTTTCGAACAACTCACTTCCTTTTTTGGCTCCAACAGATGCTGTCACACGCCCTTATTCTTAAGGGTATAATAGTCTTTTCTGTTTTTTTAGTTTTTTTTTTCAAAACCCTAAATCTAAAAGGTTATACCCTGAAATCAAAAGTGATATTTAAGGTCATTTTTGAAATATTGCCTTTTTCTTTATATTGTTTTTTTCTCTGAAGTCCCCACATGACGGGTTATTACAAAATTTAATATTATTTAATACATATTAGAGAAAAATCTATTAGAAAACATAATAACAGATTTTGAGTGATTGTCTAGTTTATTTTATTGAAAATGATATGTTTCAGACGATTACAAATGAAGCTGTTATGAAAAAATTTCAAAAAATGAAGGATCGTATAATTCAATTGTAAGGGATAAACATTTTTTTGTGATGATATTTTTTTATTTTATTTTTATATTTTATATATAATTTATGAGTCTGGTCCCCGGTAAAAATTTTTTTTGGGTTCGCCACTGTATATATATATATATGTATATTATACTTATATGTTCTAATCAAATACTATCATTAATAAATGTGATATGATGGCATATTTTCTTGGTTTTTCATCACATACATAAAAGAGGTTTTACTAATGCTTTCAAAGGACCATCAAGTTTAGGGTTTAGAGACACTAATAGACAAAACCAACACACGAAATAAATTTAACTTAACAGAGCAACAAAAGGTTGCAGAAAAGCTGGAATTTTTATTTATGAATTTGATGGAAAGTGTTGATGTAATTATAATCATAACAAGATTCTAAGATGCTTTTGAATATAAAACAACATTGGCATCGTCCCCTTACGTCTCTGTCTAATCAGGTGATGTGGAATTATGAAATTCAAACATATTTTTTACCAGAAATTTCGATATGGGATTCTAGTTTTCAATAAAATTCGATTTTTTTTCGAAGTCGAGATTTGTGTTCTACACAATATTCTCAAGATGAAATTGTCCTTTTATTAACTGATTACGGTTTATGATAATCGTCTCCAAGATATAACGATTTACGATTCTACAAAAAAACCATTTGCTTAAAAGAATTCAACAAATTACGAAAGTTCAGAACTCTTTAGAATTTTTTTTCGGAATAGAAGAAAGTGTTTAGAAAAAATGGGATGATGAATACGATCCTATGAGCGCCATATTTATAATATTTAGGAGTTGTTACAAAAACGTGTGAAGAAAGAGGTCTACTCTTTCATCCAACGGTTCTATTGAAATCGTTTCAAAAGGAAACGTTTCATCAGTAACACATTAGTTCAGAGCTCAATTGTCCCACATCAGCATGCAATTTTCGAGTATCTGAAGCATGTTGGACCAAAAATCACGATGTTTAGATATGATTTTGATCTGACACATGGACACGAAATATGAATCAACAAATTAGGTATTGTTGACATGTGTTATTTCCGTCGATATGGGAAGTACAACCCCTTTATTATTGAGAACGTGATTCATTCTCTTATGTCATGTTTATGTAATGCGTATGTAAGCGATTACGTTATATTTATGTAATGCTTATGTAAGCGATTGCATCATAATGATGTAATGCTTATGTAAGGAGTTGTAGAAGTTTGAATTTGTGTGTGTATTAGGTGTGATTGAAGAAAATAAGGGTATGGTAGGTGTGATTGATAGATGAGGTGTGTGGTTGTGATGAGAGTAGTAGGTTTGGAATTTTAGTATAAATAGGGGATGTTGTATGGAGTTTTTCATATCAAGCTTTCCTAAGCATTTCTGTCTAAACACTTTTCTCTCTTTTCTCTCTTTGGTTCCTTAACAAAGTTCTAAGCATAAGTGCTACAAATCTTCAATACTTTCTCGTTTTTCTTTCTTTGCACTATGCACTAAAGAAGAGAAGATAAGAAGCTTGTCAAAGATAATATAATACAAGCTTCGTAACATGGTATCAGAGCCAACTACGGTTCAAGGGACGACGCTGCACTAATCCAAGCACAAGGAAGAGCACTATATCGAAGCACAAGACGCACCACGAAGCACAACTTGCACGAAGAGCACTATGGCAGTAAACATCCAAAACATTCAACCCGTTGCTATTTTCGATGGCCAAAATTATGAGTTATGGGCCACGAGGATGAAGACGACGTTGATACTGAGAGAGTTATGGGACATTGTCGAAAAAGGCGTTCCAACACAACCATCGGAGACTGCAGAAACTCCGATGAAAAATCAAGAGGCGGATCTCACAAGGTGGAGGGAGATCAAGATGAAGGACATGACGGCCCTCCAAATTCTACAAATTCCATCACGGATTCCGTCTTCCGGAAGGTGATAACGGCCACGACATCAAAGGAGGTGTGGACCAAACTGCAAGAAGCATATCAAGGTAACGAAGGAGCCATACTTGTTTGCTTACAATCTTTACATACTCAATTCGAAAATTTGAGAATGAAAGATGGAGAAAGAATAAGAGCATATACAGATAGAGTGATGGATATCGCAAATCAGATGGAACAATTGGGAGAAGGAAAGAAAAATTTTGAAATCATAAGGAAGATCCTAACAACGATGTCAAAGTCATCTGCAACTTTGGCAGCGTTGATGGAGGAGACGAAAGATTTAAGAAACATAAGTGTCACGGATTTGGTTGGATCTTTGATC